ATTATTAGGTTTAAAAACTAAGGCAGCCTGTCCCAGAACTCCTTCCCTTGTTTCTCTCTTTGTCTTAAGAAGAAAATGGGCCTCAACAATTGTCTTAACAATCAACTCACAAAGCCCATGGTCCCATGATTCGTTTCCCTCCTTACCATTCACGTGATTAGGGTTTTATTTCTCTTTCTTTCTTATGTGACCATCTCCATGACTACGCAGTCAGGAATCTTGCATCGGCGCCCCCACCAATCCTTCTTCTCTGACCCTGTTTCCGTTAGCCGGTGGTGATGGTCGTCACATCCACTTCTTGTCTCTCTCTTCTTCCATTTTGGACATGAACAACAACTTTTTTCCGATGTTTTTGGCTACTAGAACTCCTTCTCCGGCTCCTCACTTGCCCTAGAATCGTCAATGGTCGTCCCCCCTTCAGATATCCAACCTCCGTTGCAAGTTGTATCTCCCCCATTTCCGTATGCCCAATCTTCGAATTTTGTCGTCGATCTCTTTCCAATCGCATCTGAGCCTTCCTTCCCGATATTCGTGCTCTCTTCTTTTTCTGCTTCTTCATCAAAAAACTACAGTGTAAGTACAATTCAGCCATCCTCGGACTCGTGCTTGTCCTTCTTGGATATTCGATTTCTCCTTCGTTCTTCCTTGTGCAATTTCGTTGTCGTTGCATTCTCTCTCCTCCTTAGCTTCTTCATACTCTGTTGAGGGCAGTTTTTCTTCTATGTTCTTGAGGTGTCCCTGCACGAAGACACTCCCAGACCTTGATTGATTTTCCATCGAGCTCTGATCCGCGTTCTTGGGTTTGATCGCCGTCATCCAGCAACCTTTCGTCCCTGCTTTCAGATGCTCTTTCGAATGCTCCTTGCAGTTGCTTCTTCCTTCCTTGATCTCTCTTTTTCCTCTCTAATTGTAAACCCCTTTTGCAATCCTTTCATTATTCGTCTCATTTCACTCCAACCTTCCCTCATTTCTTTAAACATTTCCTGTAACTTCATCACTGCTTCGAATGGGAGATCTATGGCCAGGATGAACTTGCTCTGATACCTTGGTACTCGAATACAAGAACCTAACAAGAACCGATAGCCTTTCGATAGCCTTTCGAGAGGGCTATCTCTCTCCTAAGAACTCTCTCAAGTTCCTTACACAAAATACTATTCTTCCAGATATCTTCCTCCTCTCCCTACCATCCTTATTATAACAGCTCTCCTAACTAATTACCATTATCAAAAAACCAAGGAGAGTTGATATAGAAATGAGTGATCACGAAGTGCACGAAGAAAGCCTACAAGAGGAGTTTCCTTCATCATTTGGTATCAGAGCTTTGGCTCTAAACAGATTATATCTTTATTCATTTTCCATCTTCTTCATCTTTCTTTCTTTCTACTTTTAACCATATCTAAATCCATTTCGTGTGACTCTTGATCTTCTCATCTTTGCTTCAGTTTTTTTTTATTGTGTTTTCTTGAAAAGAAAAGAAAAAAAAGTGACATGTCATCTTCTTTTGATTCACACCATTTCACTCATATCTCTTTATTTTTTTCATTCCATTTTGCTTATTAGAAAACATTTATGTATTTGTTTCCTAAATTTTAGATTTGTGACTTTTCACATTCTATGCTATATTAAAGTGTTCTTGCATGATTCTCATAAAAATAGTATGAAGACTTACTAAAGTTTTAGAAGTCAAAATGTTTCAAGAGAGGCGAAGGCGTCATGCGAATTGTCAAATTAGTAAGGATCCGTTTTGGAAGGCTATGAGAGCTAATTTTGCTGAAATGCGGAAATCCATGAAGTACATTTCCAAGTTAAATCAAGAATTGAAATGGAGGGACCAAGCCAAGGAGAGACAAGTTGCACAATCCATTCAAAGAGAGGAAGATTTTCCCAAGTCTAAAAAAGGATGACAAATCAATTCGAAATGAGAGAGAGCATCCAAATCCCGAGGAAGAAGCGAAACTTGAGATTGTTACGTCTCATGTCAAAGAGGAACATTCAAATGATGAGATTTTTATATGTGATGAGGAGGAATTCGAAGATTGTAAGGAGTTATGCTCTAAAAAAGAGGTTGAGATAAAAGTAGTAGAAACAAAAGAGGAGGGTGAAAAGAGTGAGAAACAAGAGAAAAGTGTTGATGAGAAAAAGGGAAAGATTACAAGAGTTTCTAAAGCTAGTATTATTTTGTTTTCAAAATGACATATACAGGAGCTTGTAAAAGAACGAAGTTGCTTTCTAATGGGTGCACTTAAACCAAGTGTACAAAGATTTTCTTTTGAATTCTTGCAGGAGGTTAAACTGCTTATTGAAAATCAAAAGTCAAGGGTTACTTTGAGCCAATTTCGTTCACTTGGGACATATGAGTCCAAGAGACTGCACAAGAAGCATCATTCCAACTTCACTTCCTACCACATCCAAGACAAGAAATTCAAAGGGGAGGGGGATCCAAGTAGTACAAGGCCATGGAATACACATGACTTCAAATTTGCCATGCAAGGAGATCCTTTAGATTCGAGGACGAATCTTTTCGAAGAAAGGGAGAATGATATAGAAATGAGTGATCACGGAGTGCACGAGGAAAGCCTACAAGAGGAGCAAGCTCAAATCAGCTCAAATGAAGCCTATGCTCAAAGTCAACCCAATCACGAGCTTGAAGGGATGCAACTTTTCACCAAGTGTGAACACGTTAGCTTGGAAGTGACCATTCAACCCTTGTTGTAGTCTTTTAGCTCTAGCTCTTGTGATTGGACCTTGTGGCAAAATGATTAACTCATGATTGGGTTGACTTTGAGCATAAACTTCATTTGAGCTGATTTGAGCTTGCTCCTCTCATAGGCTTTCCTCGTGCACTCCGTGATCACTCATTTCTATATCAAGAGTTCATGAAGATGAAATTAGGGTTACTGTAGAAAGAAGATTTTGGAAGAAACAAACTATGTGGGCTGGAGCTAGGGCTACGCAGATTAAAAAAAGGGCCCAATCAATTGGAAAGGGGCATCAGACTATTATGGATGATTGGGCTATGGGCTTGGGCAAAAAGAGTGCTGGTGGGTTTTTGGTTTGTTAATGAGAATGGAAGAGCTGATGTATTGGGTTGAGGATGTTGTTGGACCTTTGCTTGCTAGTGGAAATGGACGAGCTGCAGTACTGGGCTGGGATTATTTTTGCCTTTTGTTTTCTTTTCGGTGTTTTTGGATGGGTAGTTTAAAAGGAAATTTGTTTTTGTGTATTCACACCTTGAGGACAAGGTGTCTATGAAGGGCAGGGTAATATGAGAGTCCTA